TCTAGCATCATGAACGGACTCCCCAGCACGAATAACCTAGGTATCCGTTTTTTAACCGGAGCTGCATTTTTCTGATCTTCTTTAAAACAGTTTATCGGTTTTTGCATCGTTTCATAATTATAAGGTCACCCTAAAAAACTTAACAATTATTCATGGAAGACAGGGAATTTCGTGTTTGAAGATACTTATAAAGGTAAGCATGTGTAGCAAATGCATTTCTAATGCTGGCTGTCAACATGGCTCGTGGTCATCTGCTTTCCTCTGATGAGAGGGCTTATCATGAAGGTGGGCTCATTACTCGAGCCATCTCCAGGCAAGTAGGGAGATCCCCTTGGCCTATTCAAAGATTTTTGGAGAGCCCTGATGTCTCTAGATATAACGCTGAGTGTGAACACCCATGAAAGATTACTGCCCGTGACAAGCGGAAGATTCTGAGGACTGTTTCCAACAGTACGTCCTCCTTGAAAAAGATTCGATCGGAATTAAACCTCTCTGTGTCGAAAACTACAGTCTGAAGAGCAGTGAGAAGATGCGAGAACATCACCAGGCATGCAATGGAGAAGGTGCCACGAATCACCGATCGCCACACAGAGAGGCTCCACTCGGATTCGCAAAGATGAACCTAGGGAGAGATTGGGCAAAGGTAGATGTGCATCAAAGTCTCACCATAGAGCTGAATAATTCCTATTTAGGTCGTCTTTTCGAATGAAAAGAAATTAAATCTTGACGGTCCGACCGGAAACAAGCGATACTGGCGCGAATTGAGGAAGGAACCAGTCTACTTCAGCCGTCGCAATTTCGGTGGAGAAGTCTATGGTGTGGGGTGCATTCTGCAATGATGTCGTGTTGGATCTACTTGTCGTGAGCTGCAGTATGGATTGCAAGGATTACCAGTACGTCTTGGAGCATCATCTAGTACCCTTTCTATGCCATCGCCGTCACCTCAACTACGTCTTTCAACAAGGCAATGCTTCCATTCATGTGACCCGTGCAACGGATGTGTGGCTGCAATGCCAATAAATAAGCGTCCTGCCATGGCCAGCCTGTAGTCCCGATCTCCATCCGATGGAACATATCTGGGGCATAATAGTCAAACTGATTTATGCGAATAACCGTCAGTTCTAGAGCACAGGAGAGCTGAAGCGGGCGATTATCGAAGCATGGAGAGCAGTCGATGAGGAACTCTTCGAAACTTAGTTTTTACTATGCCACGCAGGCTCTTTGGTGTTGCTCATAAATAAGGAGGAGCTATAGATTATTAACTGTTATACATATGCCATCAACGTTAATAAATCATTTACTTTCTCGGGGTGACCTTATAATTATGACTTATAATTATGAAACGGTGCAAAAGCCTACACTATCTTGAAAAGATTCATAAATAATTTGAGGTGAAGGATTGTGATAATTGCAACCGAAATTTGAGTACAGAGGTAAATTGTGATGATGAATCTTCCAGTGTTGGCCAAAAAATTCCATTCCGGCTGCTTTCTCCAGAATCGCAAAAATCGAGGGTGACCTTATAATTATGAAACGCACTGTATAATACATGGTAGCGTGCACCATTTTAATGGACTAACGCAATTTTACGCGCAGCAGCGCTCTTGCAGTAACATCGTGCTTCAAACATGTAACAATCCACACAAAGCACACGAATATCGAATCTTTAGATTTGTTGCTGAAGTAACGGAACAAAGGCTTCATTTTTCTGTGAAATCGTTTTTCAAAAACGAACGGCTTCAAAATGATCTCAGAACTGGTTGTTCTGGGCGTTTCATAACAAGAATCGCTACATAATTACGTATTTTTCGCTCAGGAAGTTTTCATGTTCATGAGAAATTACCGCTTTTCAAACTATCCTCTAAACACCGTCTGTTGCCGCTTAAAGCAGATAGGTCGACCGTTGTCATTACGTTCCACATTGAACCGGGTTGCTGACGCGCGTGACGGTCAATCAGTGTTGTGCATGGCCCAGTAAACGAAAATGAATGTATCATATATCGTCATGCGAATGCTCAGTTACTGCGAGCAGATGACTCAGTTCATGCTAGACAAAGAGTGAGCGGTAACTGGCTCCCTACCAACAGCTTATGGATCCAAACTCAACGTCCGAGAGCTGCATGTAAAGCTGTGTTGAAGTACCGTCGAAGTAATACTCGCCATATAGCAAAAAAAGTTCTCTGAATCCATGAAACTTTGATCGCACTTACATTCGACTCTCTACAATAATTGCTGTTACTGATAATAACTGCCACCATTTCAGCATTCCAGGCGTGAATGTTTACAGCAGTGGCTGGAGGGATTTTGATGGTTCTCATATGCACACTGTCAATTTTCTTGTATATTCCAGTACTCTATGTGAGTCTTACTCAGAAAAAAATACATCATTTTTCTTCGCTTCATAGTAACAATATCGGATAGTATTGAGTCAGTTATACGTGCCGCTCTTTGCCGTAGTCGCGAGGGGGGAGAATTGATCCGTGCTCTGAGGAAGCTTGGAGATACTTTGGAGCTTCCATTTGCATCAACGAAACGAATTCCATTGTCGGAGGGGAGCTTATATTGCAGCGATCCGCGTGTGACCTTGTTGTGACTCAATCAGCTACTCCATTTACCGCATCCTTGCTCCTTATGTTAATGCGGTGCTTATGGGACAGGTCCTAAGGCCGTTCGGCATCTCTTATGTACCGTTGTGAGATTACTGCTTCATAAATTCTCTTTCCACTGCGAAATCGTATTGTCGCACATCGTGACGCGAAAAGCGTGACCAGGAAGGTCTAAATGCGCTAATGAGCTTTGAATTTTTCTGAACCAGCTCCAATATTTATTTATTTATTTATTTACCTATTTATCAACTGCACCCATAGTGCGCCACGGCAATCAGGCAAATGTGTTGGTGAATTCAAACACAGCGAAGCAAAACATCAAAAAGAAACATAAAATTCTCAAACACCAGCTACAGCATGCCACAATCAAAGAAGGTAGTGCAAGCTCTCCTAACTTAGCCGAAGCAGGTAAGGAGACAAAAAAGAGAAGTAGCAGTCTAGCCAGAGCCAAGACAATATAAAAATGGACTGCGGCGTTCATGTCACCACAATATCGAGGGAGGATTGACTGCACCAATCGCTAACTAGTTAGCAACATTTATTAATAAAACAAGGGGCACGGTCAACCTGGGCAACGCAACCGACCATGGCAGTTTCGGGCAGACCAAAATGGTAGTTTCTATGATCCTAACCCAGGGTGTAAAACAGCTAATGGATGCTGTTAATGAAATACAGGTTGAGCTTCATCCAACGTCCGCGATAGGCGCGTTACTATGATCTTCGTGAACAGCTTGTGAAGCACACTTAACAAGCTTCTTGGGCGGTAGTTGCGAATATCATCCCGGCCTCTTCTCTTGTGAAGAATGACAATCCGCGAGTTCCGCCACAAGTTGTTGATCTTCTCCTTCTGGAGGTAGGATGTCATGTGTCTTGCGAGAAGCGCATAAAGTTCGTAGCCACCTGCATGGAGTGGGTGGACTGAGATCTTGTGAGGCCCCTAGATGTGCACTTTTCATGCTCACGATCGCAACTCTCACCTCCGAAAGGAGGATCCGAAATGCTGTTATTGGTATTTTGGATTTCGATGGGGATTTTTGGCTCTCGCACGTGTGTCGTGGATCGGTACAGGTTGGTGTAAAAAATCCGTGTAACTTCCTCTATTCTCAATGTTGTAAGCGTGCCGTCCTCCTTCTTCGAACACAAAAGTGGAATGCTGTGGTCTTGAAGATCCCGATGGCATTCTTTCAGACTGGCTCTGTTCAAGGCTGCTTCCAGTAGTCTCCTCTCCCTGTATAGCTAATCTGCAGCAGTACGGCGAGACTTTCGTCTATACAGGGAGAGGAGACTGTCAGCATATTCGCTCGCAGCCTTTCGAGATGTGTGGCATTCTGGTCAGGCCTCAAGCTCCTTCTTGTCTTGATTAGATCCCTCGCCGCATCTGAATTACGAGTTGAGGTATTCATTCAAGAACACTTACCTTTTCAGCCCAAGTGTGAAGAGCGCGAACCAGAAGGTCGTAGTATCCGGTCGGGTAATCCAACCAAGACTACGAGCTAAGTTCCCGGATCGGAATCGCACGAGCTGCAGGCAATCATCGACTAACTTCCAACTTGCGTCCGGACTTGTGAAGCTCTGCAAGGAAGCATCGAACGAAGTTTTGAGCGAGAGGAGAGCAACAGTTCTGGTCGAAGCTGCTGATACTGTAATAAGCATACGCAATGAATGCCGGAGTATCGCCAATTGCAAGACCACGACGACATCTCTAATCGACCAAAAGTCATGAACGACTTTTGCTCGGATCTCTTCCACTGCCACGTCTCTCTGCCTACCTTACCATCTCAGACGGAGTAGATGATAGGTCGTTCATTCGGTACTCTCTTCCGTAATTTGACAGTCGATAATACTAAATTACCAAAAATTGTATGACAAGATTATTGCTGCAAAAGTGTGCGAAGTTTACCCAGTCAGGCTTCGTCTTTAATGGCTCTGTACAATAAGTCATACGTTGTGCACAGAAGCCGATGATTCCAATCGATACTTTCGAAGTCACCGAGCTAAACTTGGCTATCTCTCTGCCCTTCCTCGTACATTCCACGTGTTGCCTAATTTCAAAGCTGTTGGAGCACCTAAAGTGTATGTCAAATTTGAATAATCCGGTTCACTTGTGTGACTAGCGTGATAGCATTTTGTTTGAACAAGATCACTGTCAAAGATCCACCCATTAATGCACGCGCGAATCCAAGTACGAGCTCTAACATCTTCACGATATGACCGTTACCACAGTCAATTTAATTTTTTTCTTAACAACACTAATTCTGACCATCTTTTCCAGTTGTTGCTAGCTGGAAAGTCATCACAGCTGATTTATTAGCGTATGACACCTCAGAAGCAGGGTTCACAGAGAATGGGGCTGTAGCTCTATAAACTCTTCATCTGGAGTTATGAAATTCAAACATGCAAATGGCGCAGTCGGATAAACGTCGTATTCAATTGCAGGTATTTTATCGGCGTCCAGAGTTCAATTCGCTCGTAGCGTATCAGCTTATGTTCTGGACCGGTATTATGGATGTTGGTCAGCTAATCGTGTTTGATGTGTCGGGAGTTGTTGCTGCATTTCAATGGAATCGGTTTCCTTCCTACGTGAACAAAGTCAGGTTTGCACCTTGAGGTACGGGTCAAGAGGAGCAGTTACACTCGCTGAGCCCAACGGAATCTTGTGTTGGAACCGATTTCGTTGCCGCTTTCAATGTCGTAACTATGGCGCAGCAATGACTGTGGCACCTCTTGACCCATAACTCAACACTTCAAATTTCATCACCCCGCGCGTTGCGACATTGAGTTTAGGTCAGAATTCATTTGAAGATTCTAGAGCAAAGAATCAATCTTATTATAGCAATACGAGTTCTTAAAAATGTACAGCTTGTAAAAACACATTTTTGTGATGGCAAAAACTTTTCAAAATGATATCCATTTTGCAGTTCCTTGGCTCAACACTCTATGCCCTCTGGTTTTCGATGCTTTTCCTTTCGATTTTCACGACACTCAACCGCTTCGTATCAGTAGTGTTCAGGTCACATTATAACACGCTATTTAACAAAAATCACGTTAAAGTAAGTTTCACTGACCACTTGGCATCTTTTGGATACCCTAAAGAAACTTACCATATCATCTCAAGAGGTACTCATAGTCAACAGTTCTTGTATCTCATTCCACTGAAACGTAATAACGTATCCACTTAATGAGTCATGTAGCTGAAATATTGGAGATGAGAATCAAGAATCAAACTCGTCATTGTTAACACTGAACAAAAATGGTAGCTGGTCAAATAGAAGACGGTTCGCATCAACGCTAATGTCAACGAATGTGTATATGAATCAAGTTGTTACATATCATGTAATTACTTTCCTGGTGTATCACGTATCAGGAAAATGATTACAGTTTCGAATCGCGAAGAAATCTATTTCCATTGAGCAAATCTTGGTCAATGATTGTTGGTTAAACCCTATTTGTTAGGTTATTTCTTGCCATTCTGCTTCAATTTCACCGCTCCTCTCCAGCAGAATGTCCTAATTTTCAGAGAAGGTTTTCTGTCTTGACCACACAAGACTTGATATCCTCATTTTCTGTAACAGTTTTCCAACCGAAGAAGTTTTGCAACGATTGAAACAAGTGGTGTTCGGATTCCCGAGAGACCAAGGCTTTTTGGTGGATGCAGCATTGATCTTCGAGCCTTCTAGATAAGTTCTGCCAAGTCATCAGAGATCCTTGATGCATGTGCTTATTTTGCTTCTTTATAGGAAAAGCCTTAAACGCTTGCAAAATCAATTAACGCGTCATATATACTACTTACAACCCTCCTTTATATGTACAGAGCACCAGAAATGCCGATACAAAAGAATTTTTCGTCGCTCCCACACACTAGATAGGGGTGAAAATAGAGCCTTTCTGCTCCGGTCACTTAAGATGTGGTCACAAAATTCAGCAGCTTAATGCACTTCAAACGAGGGCGGCCTGATGACAGGTCTGGTCATAGCGCTTTTGGATGGAGTATGCTCTCTGTGTAGATAGAGCTGAGCCGTGCGATTCAGCTGTTATTTTCATGCAAAAACACTATGGGAACAGTAGATGAGCATTTTATGAACAGATACGAGAATCCATCACACAGTGTTTGAAACAGAAAAGCTTCTCACAATGTGAGAAACGTGTAGAAAATAGTTCACCATCACTCTCACAGTTCCCGTATAGATGAGATGAGAAACAATATTGTTCTGGAATTTCAAATTTCCCCGGGTCCGTACCTGTGTACCCTGCTGGTAGAAAAAAATATTCATCGAGAGGCTGACCTCGAGCAGTTGCGCCAGGTGGAATGTTGAGCACTTTCACCTCCTTGCCAGTAGGCGAAGCATTCTGAATCGCTTTACAGTCCTTAAACGAACTCCATGAAATAACCATCAGAAGGGATGAAGGCAACAAAATTAACTCGCATTATTAGCATTTCTGGTGCTCCATACACATAAAGTAGGGCTGCAGATAGTGTATATGATGCGCTAGAGGGGTTTGCAAGCGTTTGAGACACTTTCTATAAAAAAGCGGAACAAGCACATGCACCAAGAATTGTCACGCTTACCAGTCCTCCAACTGCGCCATCGCCTACATTCAGCACTGCCTGGTTCTCGTGTAGAAGCAACAAAGTGGCATTACTTCTGGGGAAACTAGGCCCGCAACTTTGTTCCCGGTATCGTTTCGCAGATTTGGAACCCACATTCCAGATCAGCGCTCGAAATTACTTACGTAATTAAACATCTCATCTTGAATGGCCACTGCGACCCAGTATCCTTTCCTCGTAAGTGATAAGTAGCAGTAGAACGTAGCAGCCCGTTCTCCTTTCGTTTTTTCTGAGCAATCTTTGGCTATCTAGTTTTTGATGTTTTATTTGTTTTATTGGAATGGAGGACCGGTAATGGATTTCAGAACGTTATAGCTGCTGGTAGAAATTAGTGAGACATTCAAAGAGGCAGAAGCCATTGGGTCCTCATAGTATTTGCTATACAGTCCTAACAAGTATTACAAAGTCTATTCTTTATTTCAAAGTGAGATGTAGAGTAGGTGGACAAAAAGATCAGCTTACTTCACAGTGTATCGAAGGATACAAATGAACAGAATGCTTGGTCGACCAAAGTCGCGGAAGATGCCTACTAATGATCTTTAGTGATGGTTTCATCATCATTGTTAGAGAAATTTTGTCGAGAGTCTCGCCGAGATTATTGGGGGGGGGGGGGGGGGGGGTGCGAGCGAATAATTTCAACCTTTCTGATATAGAAATTGAAAAGCCTGACCATGCAATGAGTTGATTCGTGATAGAGGTAAACTATTAGTTACTCGGTACTTCTTAATCTTATGTGGTTCTGCGTCTACCACTGCGATAGCCTTTTTCTCAAGTTATTCTTCAATTCCGTTTTATCGCACGAAATATTTGAACATCCTAATGTTACATCGAAAATTCTGCCTAAAGTAGTTCGCCTAAGGTACTTGCTCTTTTACCCGTGTATGTGTCGTGTGGCTATTTGACCAGAAATACATAACTACCGACCCCTTTGACCTAGAGCGTTCAAACATTGAAGGAATACACGCGGTAGGATAATGACATTGGCGATACTTGGTTGAAAGCGTATCGGTCGATATGGAAACCGTAGAAGTAAGAGCCGCTGTGGCCGTTATGCTCTTCCGATTGATAGTGGAAATTTTGTATTTTTACAAGAGATGCGTGGCGTGAACGAGTCGTGAGATTGGTGACAGTAATCGAAAACATTTGATAGTGGCTGATAGGGAGCCGTAGAAGGCGAGAACCGCTGAGTCCTTTGTGTATAGCACCTTTGTGTAAGGACATGAAGGAGCCGTAAACGGTTGGTTACTGGGACTGATAACAATCACTGGGACCTGATAAGGAACCATAGATTGTAAGAGTCACTGTTTTCGTCACGCGTCTTCTGTCAACAGCGAAATCTTGACTGTGGTTGATTATATGCGTATGATGGGTTGGTGAATGCTTGTTGATGTGGGGTGTCGACAGTGACTGATTGGGAGCCGTGGAAGGCGGAAGTCGCTGGTCCTTGACACCTTTGCAATGATGTGAAGGGGTCGTAGACGGTTGGTGACAAGGACTGATGGCAGTTGATAAGAGCTGATAAAGGGCAGAGATACAAGAGTCGCGAGGCCTGTAATGCTCTCCTTGTTATCCACGGAACCTTGACATTCTGGTGGATGATATGTCATATGATGGAACGTGGCTGATGTGAGAAGGACTAACAACAAATGATGAGGATAAGTACTGGTTTAGGGTGAGATTCATTGAGTGAAGTGTGTCATTGTGAGATACTCAAAGGAGGTTATAACAGTCGATAGGAGCAGAAAAGGAGCTGAAAGATGACGAGAGCCCCGAATCGGTTGCGCCCTTGGATCATTAGTGGAAGCTTGACACCATGGGTCATGATGTATCTATACGAAAAAAGATACGGATAAATCTCGATATTGATGAGACAATCAGCGAAATGAATAAATCAGATATGTTGTCGGAACCTCATGCTCGCTGTCTCTCTGCAACCAGGGACAAATCACTCAATCTATTCAAGCCAAGTAAACACGCAAACCTTCCCTCTACACACCTTTTGTGTGTTTGATCGATACTGAAATTTCTCGCGTATCTACGTTCCAAGACGATTTCACTTGGTTGTGTGTGTCTCATTTTTGAAAATTGAAGAACGTTGCAGGAACAACGTGAACAAAATTTTTCAAATAAGTGCGGTTATCGCGAATGGCCGCCGAGGCAAGGCGCTAACTTGAATTAGTAACACAAAACGGTTCAAAGCTTTCATATGAATAAAAGCTTGTTCTGCAAAAACTGGCACAACGGGGTGGAACAAATTCCTATCACTACCCTGAATAGGGAGAGCTTTGCCACAGCGCCACGGCAAACCTTGCACCGAGTGCGGGCAACTGAGCATTTTAAATTCTTGGCATGATCCTTCCATGCTTTGAGCAAGCAAATGTGAACACTCACAACTTTCTTGGAAGATTCATTCAGCAGTTTTGATTTCTGAATCTGTAAATACTATTCGAAACCTCGAAACACCTAAGTTTCTATTCAAAGTTCCATAGAAAGTTGAAACCTTTCCCCACTAATTTGCGGTAAGAAGTGAGTAATATGCTTTAGAAGCAAAGATGAAGGGTCAACAGTGCCTTTTATTTCAGTTACAGAAGGGAAGGGAACCCAGCATTAGTCGAACGATCCAGCTGGCCATGGATAAATAGACTAAAC